CATTAGTCAACCTGGAAGGGCAGGGCTCCCCCCGCACCCCCATATTGACGCAAAGCTTAGTGCGGACACCCGATCGGCATAGAGAACATGCGCTCAGAACCCCCAGTCACTGCCCATCCACCGCATTGTGCCTTCCAGTCACTGGAATTACAGGAGTGCGCCACTACTCCCGGCTGTAATCACATGCCTTAGCACTGCTCTCATTCATACAGTCTGTGAGACACAGAGACATCTGACGAGTGATTCATAAGTTTTATAAAACTACTGAAAAGTACTGAAAACTTTTGACAACTAAATTAATTTTTGCAATAATTATTACAGTATTGATTATTTACTGTAGATTAAATTGTACACGATTTATACGTGATTATAATTTATTAAATATTAAAATCAATATTTAGTTGTCTATACAATAAGTTAAATAAATGTATAATTATATTACAAATAAAAACAATTAAGTGTTGAGTACTATAAGTGAATAATTAATTTGATAAAAGTTTGATAAAACTCACAAAATCTTAAATTAATTGTATATTTATTAGACAAATATAAATAAATTATATTGAATTATTATAAATAACGAGGGTGATTACATTGTGAGATAATTAATTGTAACCACAGATCAGTTACCATTCATTACTCGGTATATTCGTGTATATAGAAATGAGTGGAGAATAGGCGCTAAACAGGGAAACAGTAATCAAATGAATTGTTTGATTGAATGGACAGTGAATGCAAACAATGAGTGAATTGCTATTCAAATGCCATTCAATGCACTCATCACTCAAATGATGTCTAAATTGTGAACCAAATGCCAAATATGTGTCTCATTTGCGCGTCTTCTGCCATCACTCACATCCACATCACTCTCACCACTCGTCTAACCGAAGAGATTGAAGAGAAGCCCTAATAAATAAGTAGACAATTGTGAGAAGTGATGGAAATGGTGTCTTCTTGTGGCCCAAAAGGCAATGCTTTCGTAACATTGGTGATGAAGTCCGACAAATACATGGCCGGCGCCCTCGTGTTGGCGCAAAGTCTTCGCAACACTGCGACTAGTAGTTCACTGGTCTGTATGATCACCAGTGATATCAGTGTGCGAGCAGTGAAAGTGCTGAAGAAGTGGTACGACTTTGTGTGGACTGTGCCGTACATCAGACAAAGATGTGTCACATTTAAGACGAGACGTCAGCGCCTCTTATATGAGGACTGGATTGAGGAGTCGTTCACGAAATGGAATTGTCTTAACCATCACCTCTTCGGCCGCTTCGACAAAGTCCTCTTCATTGACGCCGATATGATGGTCGCCAACAACTGCGAGCACCAGCTCTTCAGTCTCGAGCCGCCGGCCATGACTTTCTCGCTGCCGTGGGCTAAGCCTTACTGTCCGCACGGCATAGACAACCCGTACGGAGAAATGACTCACGGATTCAATGTTCACATCGATTTGATCCAAAGAGGTTTCCACACATTCTTAGGCATAGGATCTCTAGTATTGGTCAGAATCTGACCATTGGTTTGATTTGTATAATTCATAAGTAAATGTGTTTTTCTGTGCTTCAGATAAGACCCGATCAGAAGGTATTTAATCAAATGATGAAACTCTTGAGAAACGAATTGTTCTTCGGTTCGAGAGATTGTTTCAGTGGTTTCGACGAGCAGTTGATTTGCAAGACATACGTATCGCTGAACCAATCGTTTCGACACATCCATCAGTGTTACAACTGGTGTGTCAGCAAATGGGAGTGGCTTTCCATTGCCGGCGAAGGCGATACTCACCCGAAGATCATTCACTACTACGGCGACCAGAAGCCATGGTATTCCAGTCGGAACTACCAGTGGAACGACACCTTCCAGTGGTGGGTCATCGCCGACCAAATCATTGCCTCCGATCACTCCACCCGAAGGTTCTTTGAATTACAGTTTTAATCAATTCTTATAATCATTTGATTGTTGTTTTTTATAATCAATTATTTTACATTTAATTTATTAATTAATTCTTTGTTTCGTTTTTATTATTAAAATATAATATAAATATCAATAAAATACAGTAATTACAATATTTTGAAATGATTTTTAATTGATTCACTCATCGGTTCCCAAAATTACGATTCTTTGTCACTAAAAAATAAAAGTTTAATAAATTAATGACATTTACGGCAATGCAATACAATAATGCAATTCGTATGCAATCGCGCGAACATTACTTAAATCGAAAAGTTCTTCAAAAAATCGGTTAATCGTTATTAAAGTTTAGATAAATTAGAAGAAGACAAAGAAGAATGGGTTTTGATTTCGATCGAGTGATTGGAGTGAACAAAGAGCTGTTGAAATGTGCCGTTTGTCACGACGTGGCCGAAGATGTGGTGCAACTGTTGTGTTGTCAGAATTTCTTCTGCAGGAAATGTATCACCGATTGCTTGTCTTTGAGTGGAAATCAAAACAACTCAAGCGTCGGGATCTGTCCCTTAGACCGGTCGCGGATCACCCGCAAGAAGATCGCGAGAGCGCCTCGAATTGTGGCCAACATTCTGGACGAACTGTCCATCAAATGCCAGTACGAGACGTATGGCTGTCGACATGTTTGCAAACTCCAGGACATCGATGAACATGAGAAGAGCTGCGCCTTTCGCTCGGACATCATCATTGAGTGTCAGTGCGGTCTCAAACTCATGAGGAAAGACAGCGTTTATCACTCATGCATTCGGTACTTGAGTGAGAAAATCGAAATTCAAGGCCAGACTATCGCCAGACACGAGCGTCACATCAAGACATTGAACACTCGGATGGCTTTCCTTTCGACAAAGAAGCCAAAGAAGAGTCCAANTCACTCATGCATTCGGTACTTGAGTGAGAAAATCGAAATTCAAGGCCAGACTATCGCCAGACACGAGCGTCACATCAAGACATTGAACACTCGGATGGCTTTCCTTTCGACAAAGAAGCCAAAGAAGAGTCCAATGAAGCGAATACTGAACCCATCGGCCAAAGCGGTGAAACGTCCGCACGAATCGAAATCAAAGAACAAACCCAAAGGAAATAAAAGACAAAGATCTGAACCCCAGAGTGAAAGCCTCGATGACATCGAACCTCAGAGTGAAGGCATCGAAGACTTGGTTTTGTTCGAAGACTTTGATGTCTAAAGATATTTGTAAAACAAATTTCAAAGTGTTTTCTCATATATTTTGCTTGAATTTTCAAAACACTTTGAAATGAAATAAAATTGTTTGATATTCAGAGGAATTTTCTCATTAAAACAAATGAACAAATATTATCCCATAATTAATAAATTTATTAAATTTATATTATTCAACAATTTCTAAAAATACAAATAAATATTTATAATACAAAAAAACAAAATTTAATATAAATTGTAAAAAATCAAATACAGTATAGTTTATGACCTCGACTAAAATAAGATTCATACGGTAGGGTATATTAATTGATAAATTGTTGTAAAATAAAAATGGATTCATTTCTGTCATTCAACACTTGATCACAATTTGAATGTTTGCAAAAATACATTACAAATATAAAAACTAAAAATAAATTTCTGTTTCAATTGATATTCCAATCAGTTGTTGACCATAGAATAGAGTGAAGACCTCTTTGAGTAATTGATTTATTCTTATCTAAACTGAGGAATCGATTCAACAGACATCGGTATCCCTTTCCTATAGTTGCGATCATTTCTTTGTCTCTAGTTTTGTCGTCTAAGAACTCATTCGAAGATGTCTTACATTGGCTTGACTTCAATGGTTTGAATTTAATGATAGCTTTCACCTCCTCTTCGTACGGTCTGAATACAGTGATGGGTCTCATAGTCTTGCCCTCAACGATGATAATACAGCCCCAAGTGGTGCCCACATACAGCTCACACCGCTCTTCGAGTACAGTGAGGGCTGTCACCTGACAACTGCCCGCTGTTTGCACACGAGTCACAACCAATTATTAGCAATTGTTAGACAATTATAACACATCGAGACTTACGGGTCAGATGTTCCTCAATACTGATGGACATAAGGCTCTCAGAACAGGGCGCGAGTTTGGAGCAGTCCAGGCGGCACAGCATCGACCGCTTCCGCACATCCCATTGCCATACAACACAACCTTTCGTTGCAAATATAATCCAGATATCAGTTCACTCTTATATAACTCACTCTTATATTTATGTTATCAAGTAATTGAAATTTCAATTATCAACGTATAAATACCAGGGTATAAATAGGTCCAAACGTATGGATAGAGAGCTTCAATCTGGAAAACATCGAAGCGTTCATTGATTGGCGTCCGACCGTCGCTGTTGTCGTCGTCATAATGACTGACAATATGTTGGGATTTAATGTGAGATTCAGATAAAGTAATGACAGCGATGTTGCCCTCCGACTGACCGCACCATAGCTCACAGTCATTGTTATGAGCGCTTATATCGACGTTCACTACACATAAAAATGCGATTCCATTGTTTCCAATCTCTTTGAAACTGTGATCACCGGTACTACACATCCAGAGTCGACCACTACTGCTAGAAATGGCCACTTGTCTGATGCAACTCACGTAACACATGCAGCGAATAGCTGTGGGGGTGTTGTCCTCCAGTTCTAACTCAACACAAGATATTCTTTCAAAAGTATTCACACAATAGATATGAATCGAAGCCTTGGAGTCACCGAACCAGAGCTCGTCCTCCACCAGACATATACTCATAACCGTCACGTTATTCAATGAAGCGATGGTTTGATAATCAGTCCAACAAAAGTCATTACATGTTATCAGATCTGTTTGTTTACCAATTCTCGAGAGAATCACACGCGAGGATTGTGAACAAGTGTTCACTCCATTGGCGCTCAAAACGGCATAATTTTCATTCAAAGAGATCACATCCAATAAGTGGATAAATTCTGGCGCAGAGATTATCGACACAATTTGACTGATGGAGGGCCGGTCTCTGGGTTGTTGTGCCCAACAAAGTGTCATTATATCAATGAAATAACTGGGATATGAGAGGTCCCGTTGGGAAAGTGATGGTCGACCCCCTTCGAGAATATGCTCTTTGACGCACTCCTGGTTCTCGAAGGGAAGGCGTAAAGTGAACAATTCGTACAAAAACATGGCAAATGAAAAGCAGTCCACTTTCTCCGTGTACTCCTCTTCGCCATTGTATCGCATGATTTCCGGAGCCTTTAATTGATTTACATTTTTTTCATTTCCCGAAATTACAACAAATATTGAAAATAACAATCAAAACAATTCATACCATAAATCCTTCGGTTCCACCGAAACCTTTAGTTCCTGTCGGAAGAGATGGTCGACTGATACCATAATCAGCGAGTTTTATGTCAACTTTAGGACTATCAAAGGGATGAAAGGTTTCAAAGGGTTGAGGCATATCCCAAACCAACACATTCTCAGACTTGAGGTCACGATATATGATGCGCTGGCGGTGAAGATATTCCAATGCTTTCGATATCTGGAGCATAATTTTCTGAAGAATCAAAGCATTAAACTGCACTCCAGAGCGCCTGTAGTTCTTAATAATATGGTCGAGTGAACCCATAGGCGCCAATTGAAGGATTAAAGACAATGGTTTAGTACACAACCCAACCAATGGTACGATATTCTGGTGCTTCAGATTGAGAAGAATATTCAGTTCCTGTCGTGCAGTACAATATGCTTTGCAGGCGTATTGCATGGGATCCCTTTCCCAGCGATTGTTTGCTGCCTTAAACGCAACCGTATCAGACTTGCGAGCGCCATATCCAGGATCTACCGGTTGCAACATCTTCATGGCCACATCAATTGCATTATAATTAGTCGAGTCTTTAATGGTGGCCTTAAATACAAAGCCAAACGCTCCCCGACCTAACAGTTTGCCGTACTTTAGTTTATCGGGTTTTATGAGATAATGGTCTCCGAGATCATAGAAGACAGTGTCGGGCGCTATGGTCTGCATATTAAGTCTCGAATGAATGGGACAAATGACTGCCTTCTGTTCATAAACAGCTAAAATGCATTCTTCGACCAAAAATGAATAAACGACGGGTTCTTCACTAATATTCTTATCACAGCTTTGATTGCTTAGAGAACTGCTTTTATGGGCGCCTTCAACAGATGAGATACGACTAGAATCGCGTGATTCGCGACCCATTCCGCTGTCGCGTGAATCTGAAGAACCGATATTTCTTTGTGAGCCATCGTTGCCGAAGTCAAGCAGTTGCCACTCGACGTCATCGGGAGATCTTAATTGGTTTGGAGTTCCACTTGAGGTCAGTGTTGGAGAGGAATGAGTTGTGTTTGAGTGGGAAGAAGACATTTGATTTATAAGACATGGAGAACAGGGAACCAAACGTGTGACCAAAAACTTTCCTTCAGATGTGTGAACAAAACGTGTGCCTAAAGTCGGGTACCAGTCCTCTAGAAGTGTATCCATATGTTCAACAACTATAACCAGTAGTTTTGCGACCATTTCTTGGTTTGGTTCTAATGTATAATTTCTGGAAATCCCCTCTGAATTGATTGTCTCAACAGCTAAGCAGTGATTCGGGAGATAGATCTCAAGTAAAGATGATTTATTGAGTTGGATGTCATTCCACTGGCCATCCATTTGTACGAGTAATTTCATGTTATAATAATCGTAAGGACTGAGAGGTAAGTGGGAAAAGACTTCTTTGACACGAATCAGATAAGTGTGGAAATGCTTTAAAGCCATTCCCGTCTGCCAACACATCCACTCGGCTTTTGTGTTGAATAGTGACAGAAGGATAGGGTCTGACTGAGCGTTGGCCGGGATTTTGAAATAAGATCTAATGATATCTATAATGGTATCGTCGCCTAAAATACGAGATATAAACCTCACGATGAAACCCGAGGGAAAGTATGTCATCAGAAGAAGTCGGTGTACAGAATGTTTGGGTCGACTTATGACATGCACTGAACACTGCGTTTGTCTTTTGGTCACAGATTGCGATGTCTCGGGAATAGAGACTCGTCTTTCATCGAGAGATACAATGGGAGGAGTTTTTGGCGCTTCGAATAGGGATTGTATTTGAAAATTGATTTTCAATTCATTAACCGACAAATCCTTGTTCGGAACGCTTTTTCTTAAAGCCCAGCCTCGAGATCGCACCGGTATCTGAAATCATAAGCAAATGGTAACAACAGATTTTTATCAGATGTAGCCAAACCTACCCTAACATCACAGCCGGGAAGTCCTGCGCGCAGGTCTTCTTCACTGTGTAATAGAGATGGGATGAGAAGCGTACGACTGTCCCACGTGACGGCCACTTCAAACTTGTTCAACAGATTAAGAAGGTATGTCTGGGCGTCAGTCGGCGCGCATCGCGAGAGTTTGAATAATTGCTTCAAGTCTTCGATTTTCATGAGACCTATTGAACGAAGATATAAAACGTTAATAAAAGGCTCAATCAATGAGTGTTCAAACAAATAGCAACCGTTTCGGGCGTAGGGATTGATCTCACGAATGGTCACCACATGGGCTAACATATCGAACAGCCATTGCGGGTCCAAAAAGTATATATCCTTAAGAGTGGAGTCTTCGTAATGAAGGAGAACTCCATTTTCGTGCAGAAAAATTGTGGCCGAATGCAGTTCAGACATATCTCTGAAAGTCATGCCATACCTATTCATCATCTCTCCAATCACTGCAGTCTTATACTGTTCTGAACGCAGGACCGGATCCTTTCCCTCTTGTTTTCGTTCTAAAGCTAAATACGAGACGACGTCTTCGAGTGCCAAATAAGTCGCCGGAACTCTCTGCTCGAGTAAACGCTCTTTACTTCCGGGACATCTCAACTCAAACACAGTGTCGTAAATGAGATTACATAACAGTTTGATGTTATGCTTGGTTTTGATACTGATTTCAATGGAGTCAATGACTCGCGGGAGACCACACTTGTCGGGGTCGACGACATTCATAAACCGCTGTCTAATGTTTTGCTGCAATTCTTCGGCATAAAAGGGCGGAAAGTATTCCTTAATTAAGTCATAATGAGTGCCCACTATAATGACGGGTGAGTTGGGAGCGCGCGCCTGGATATTAACCAACCACTGGAATAAGCCCTCAACACCTCTCTCGCCGTCAATTATTTTCCAAACGACTAAATATAGGGATCTCTTTGACAGGAAATACTGATGAGTGGCGTAGTATTCTCGTTGACCCCCAAAATCCCAGGTTCTGAAAGAAACGGCACCGAAGGATGGCTGTCCCCTCACTTTCTTCTCGAAAGTCCAGTCGCAGACATCCACTCCCACTGTTGATAGGGTCACTCCGCGTGGAGTTTTCATATTGAGATTCTTATTGCCCATCCTTTTGCCCCAATGTTCTGGAGGTCTCTTCCTATAAGAACCGCCGCCTTCTTGTCGTAACAGTTCTAATAGAGATGTCTTTCCAATGCCTTGAATACCGACAATCATTAACTTCATTCTCGCGTATGGTTTGGCACTAAAAATAATAAAACATTTAATATAATCTAAAGTGTAAATACAATATACCGTATGAGAGCATGACATACTTTTCTAAAATAGACTTTAGATATCCGATTATATCCATTGTTTTATATTTTTTACTCTCAATCATAGTCTTCAGGGGTTCACTCAGATTACAACCTCTTGTGCTTAAATTCCACAACTTATTCAATAAACCCATTTCTGGCGGCAAATAACAGATATGTTTGTTGTCCGAGATATTCAAAACCGACAAATTGGACAAATCACTGATGTTTGGACACAACTCCGCTATCAGATTGTTGGACACGTCAAGCATCGATAGGTTCGCAAAAAGCAATTTATTATATCTTAGACCTGAAACATAATTATAAGTTAATTATAAGTTTAGATAATTATAATTATAATTATAAGTTTAGATAACAATCATTTCAATCGCTGCCATTTGTTTGCAAACCTTTAATGATAGGATTGTTTTCATCCAGTCTTTCAAATTCATCACAATTCACATCTTTGTCCTCACAATTGATCACAATTTGAGTCAATTTATTATTCGACAGAATAAGAGTTCGCAAATTATCCAAACGATTGTGTTGTTTATGAATACAACATGAGTTGCATTTCAAGCTTTTCACAGAAGTAATACTGGTTTTAGTGACGGGCGATGGGATTGGGTTGAGATCACTATAACAAGAACTACACTCCGAATGAGTGGACTTGTCGTCAAAATCAACTCTAAACCACTCAGAGATCTGGTTATGAGATAAATCGATGTGCTTTATGTTAACCGGATATGATTTCACACAACCCAGTGATTGGAGACAATTGTAACTCATGTTAAGTCGCGTCAAATTGATGGCCAGACATGAGAGCGTCGGTGGGATTCTCTGGAATCCGTTGTGCGAAAGATTGAGAGAAACGAGTTTACAGTTGTGTCGCGGATCCGATTCCTCGTCATTATGGGCAACGGCCACGACCTCAACGTTTTGGTTCCATATGTTTACGCGATTCACGTCTTTGTTTATCAGATTTGCGGTCCATTTGGTCTCCGAATCGCAATTCTTGTCATCGGTTTCGCTGTCCTTTTCATTAATTATCAAATTCTCTGTCAATATATCACTTTTCTGGTGCTTTGGTGACAATGAGATGGGAGTAGTATTGAGACGGACGGGTAGATCACGCAATAGGTTTAATGAGAGATTAATTTCGCGCAGTTTGGGTGCCGTCCAGAAAGCGTATGGAAGGGAATGGATCTTATTGTTGGAGAGATCTGTTTAAATACAAACATAATTACCGCATAAGTCTACAGTATATAACATACATGAATACAAGAGTATTATTATAGTTATAATTATTTTAATTAATTATAATTATTATAATTATATAATAATTATACCAATGAGTTGAAGGGTTGGTAATTCAAAAATACATTTCGGAATGCATTCCAAACAATTGTCCTGAAGATAAAGCTCTTGAAGGGATGGAAGTGACCAGACTTTGGGACATACAGTATAAGACAAATAAGCGTTTCATAGAAATAGGAAACAAATTAAATGGTCATAAAACGGATGCAAACCAACCATTGCTCTGATTGGAGGAACTATGAGATGTAAGAGTCGATGAATAACTCCTAGATTTTCTCATTCGCGAGATTCCAGACTTCGTGGCCTCTAATGGCGACAGAAGTTCGGAATCAGTTTCGGGAAGAGTTTCCAAATTGTTTTGCGATAAATTCATGATCACAACGGATGGCATTTGAAACAAACAAAACGGCAATTGTTTTAATTCATTGTTTGATAAGTCGAGACGAGTTATAGCAGTGATGGCCGTCACTTGGTTCTGGAGATTAAGCTTGAGTTTAATGTTATGAGCGACCGATGCGTCGATTAGCCATTGTTTGCGAAGATGCTTCAGACCTTTCAACGAATGCCAGTTTATCATCACTGGAGTCGTCGGAAACATTGAACTGAATGTTATATTTCCTGTAAATCATTGAATAGATTGTCAAATATTGTATCATATCATCGATAATATATCGGACATACCAACAAACCCTAAACCACCGGAACTGGTGTTAAACTGAAGTGCTTTTTTGTTTATTTTGTACTCTGGATCTGGATGTGACTTAAGAGATAATAATTTTGCCATTAGATGATTGTCGCCATTACTTGAAGCCACTTTCAAAGCGAGACAGTCATCATCGCGAGCGCCGTATCTAATCAAGAGGTCAACCATAGAGGCGTCGCGATTGCGAATCGCTTCCTTAAGTGCAGTCGATGTCTGGTCTTCGGGTAGTGATCTCTCATCGCAGTTGAAATGTATGGCGAGGTTAGGATTGGCTCCGCGCGAGAGTAAAGCCGATGCTATGGAGTAGTGCTTCTTTCCGACGGCCGCGTGAAGTGGAGTTTCACTCTTATTATTACAGTAAATGTCTAATAAAACAGGAAATATAGTTGTCTTATGTGTTGGACTCGACTCGTTGTCCAATCTATTATTCTTCACATAAATCACATTCAATTCAGAAGTGGGACTCAGTTTGTCAATAATCTTCTGAATCGCAGATTTCTTTTTCGTTGGACTAGAAGTACTTGAATCACAAATATTTATATGTTTGTATGAATACAGGTATAAAGACAATAGCGGCCAAAACTTACTGGAAGGACATGACATGAATTCTTCAGCATTTCTATCGGATTCTGTGAACTCTAAAGTCTACGACAACGAGCTGTTGGACTGTTCGGACAATAGTATGTCTCACAACGAGTATGACTCGGATTCAGGATCTCATTCGCCAAACATTGACATTAATATGAATCCAATTGATAACTAAATTATACAAAATATACACAAAACAATTGATTATAAAACTAAATCATTTTCACGAAGGGCCAATACTCAAGATGTCAAATAATGGCACTTCTCTCATATGTCATGTTATACTTATTACTTATGTATTAATTATTCAATTGTCGACATTGTATTTATTTAACTCAAATTACATGAACTTGTACTGTATTGTAATGTACTTGCTATTTATATTCTCAATAATATTCACACTAAACTATATGTTAATTACATTTATTTCTATTCATTAATATTAATGATATTATTGTTAATCCTTTCAATGTTTTGAATGTAACTTCATTTTTTGAAATTTAATAAAAATTATTTGAATCTCGATTAAATAATATTCATTTGTTCAATTAATGACCATTTATTATACTTTAAACCACGATTGCCTTAGGAAATAAGCGTGATACTATACATGATCTGTACTATATATAATATATAGAATCTATTATAGAATCTATAATCAATAATAACAATACAGTGTAATTAAAGGCAAAATTAAAGTATTAATATAATCCTTTTCTATTTAACAACTAAAGTAATAATTCTTTCTAAAAATTTGTTAAACCTTTTTACCCTTTTTTAAACAACAACAAAATCAACAAATTATAGATTAAAAACTACAATTTATTATTTATTATTTCATTATTAGTTAACAAACAATAATTCCTAAACTATAGTATTGATATACATTACTCAATATTACAGATTAAATTATATTAAATTATATTAAATAAATCCATAAAAGTTATAATGAATAAATAAATAAGTATGACCGATTTGGCAAGTAAATATTTTGACAAAATAAAAAATCACAATTTTACTGATTAGAAGTGAACTGTTATAACCTTATAAGGCAGACAAGGATATTTTATTTGAAAAACACTCAAATTTTGAATATCAGATTGTATTCGCATATAAATTGTATCAGGATATTTTCCAATTGTGAATTAATTAACAATTCTTGACTCAAATTCTGTGCGAATTCTGTAATAACGACAGAATATTGAATGCATTGGTGTGTAGGAGTCAGCACTAGTGGCACATCATTGCAGTCACTGTTTGTTGACATTCAGCACAATATGTTTGACAAATGCATGCAATTGTGGTGCACTTCATGACTGTCTCTATTATTGTCCATATATTCAATGGTTTTATACATTATTTTTACAATTTATTTGTCTTTCCATTCATTTGTCCACAAAATGCTAATTGAGTTGAATTTGTGTGAAACTAATGGCAGTGAAAGGCATTTGCATTCAATGAGTGAAAGCCATAAATGGATTACAAAAATGAATTGCATTTGAATTCGGGTTTAAATGAGATATTGTCGGATCAGTTGTCACACATCAGACACTGTCTCACATCGCATACCATTACCCGATCGGTGGTGAACACAATGGACGAAGAATTCGCGGGACATCTCTTGCATCAGTCGAGCCTTTGGGGTAATCATGAGCTGCTGGAGGACCTGCTGTCTGGAGATGAGGTAAGCACACCATCGCATGATGTGGTGATGACACTAATGGATGAGTGGATTGTGACAACAGATCCAATACCTGAACGCAACCGACTCTAAGGGACGGACAGCTCTTCAGGCGGCCGTCTGTTGTGACAGCGAGTCCTGCACTCGGATTCTCCTCACACGTGGAGGTCAGACATGATTACCACTCTTTGGATCACTTGTTTGATTAGTTTACCACTCTTTGGATCACTTGTTTCATTAGTTTCCTATTGATTACAAGTGTTGTGTCCACAGAGACAACACGTCTATAATTAACATATTTATTGATTTGAGTCCAACTCTTGCGCTAAATCTGGCGTTCAGTCAAACCATACGTTTATAAATATATTTGTTTTGATTTAATTACAATGTTTTGATTTATATCTTAGCTTCAAATGAATTGCAAATATCTTTTGTCACTTTCAATGCCATAATCTATCATTCAATCTCTTTTGTAACTTTTCTATATATTTCTTACATTCCTTGAGATCTTGCGTTCAAATCAAAAAGTTTTAGTTATTGTAAGAGTTTGTAATCTTTTAATTAAAAGACAATAGTTTGAGAGATTGGGTTAATCTTTTCATATTGTACTCACAATATGTTTGTGCCTATGGGTTGACCCAACTTTAGATACCGGACACTAATTCTGGTATTACTTTAAGACTAATTTAATTCTTATAAAACTTTTTGTCTACAAGTTTAACGTCAGTTTACTCTCAGCTTACTATACTGTCAATGAATTTTAAGCTTGTGTTTGCGTTTAAATTGATGAATTTTGTTTTAATGATCAATATTTACATTAATATAAAATAAATGCAATAATATCAATTATGTTAACTGTGGGTCTTAATTAAAGCCATTAAAATGTTTAATTATTTTACAATTACTGTAAAAAATCTTTCCATTTATTTGTCAAAAGCCGACCCAAATATAGGACAAGTAAATGATCCGCA